TTGATGGTTAAGGACAATGATGAGCAGACCGTTGGATTAGAGGCGGTTTCGGGTTTGGTTTGGAGGTGTTTGACAATGGAGAATACTGGGATTATTGGATTGTATGGTGTGGAAGGTGTTGGGAAGACGACGGCTTTGACTCAAGTTAATAACAGGTTGCTTCAACAGAAAGGGAATGGGTTTGATTTTGTTTTGTGGGTTTTTGTTTCCAAGAATCTGAATCTTGAGAAGATTCAAGATACAATTAGGGAGAAGATTGGGTTTTTGGATAGGACTTGGACGAGTAAGACCGAGGAAGAGAAAGCTGGGAAGATCTTTGAGATCTTGAGTAAGAGACGTTTCGCTTTGTTTCTTGATGATGTTTGGGAGAAAGTTGATCTCGGTAAGGGTTTTGAAATCGATTACTTGCGCGTAAAGAAACCGATCGTACTATATTACTTGTGAGATAAGTTATTTGTTTTTATTATTTTGTATAGTGAAAGCCGGTGTTCCGCCTCCGGATGCGCAGAATCGGTCTAAGGTTGTTTTCACGACGTGTAGCGAAGAAGTTTGTAAGGAGATGAGTGCGCAAACGAAGATTAAAGTTGAGAAATTGGCTTGGGAACGGGCTTGGGACTTGTTTATAAAGAATGTTGGAGAAGATACTGTGAAGAGCCACCCAGATATAACCAAGGTGGCTCAAGAGGTTGCAGCCAGGTGCGACGGTCTTCCTCTGGCTTTAGTCACTATTGGTCGAGCCATGGCTTCCAAGAAAACCCCTCAAGAGTGGCGTGACGCTTTATACATCTTGAGTAACTCTCCTCCTAATTTCTCAGGTCAAAAAACTTCTCTAAACTGATCAAACAGATTTCAGTGAGTATAGGTTTTGTATTATTGATTTGGTTGATTAACATTTTGTGTTTTTTTGTAACAGTTCTCAAGTTACTGGACAGGAACTAGGTGAAGCACAGAAACTGATATCTAAATTGGTGGCATTACTGTATTCATTTGAAGATTCTTTTTATTATTGTGTATTTGTTTTGTAATTTCTCATTGATCGTATAATATGAATGAATGTTGTGTTACTTAAAAAAGAAACAAAAACAGAATCCAATTCAATTTAGTCAAACATAGAGGACAAAGATTGAGTTTATTTGTCTATGTGGTAAACAAAAAGACAGAGAAACATACACAAAACATAGTGAAACCAAAATCAGTTCTTACTAAAGCTTCTTGATGCCTGGAAATGAAGGAAGGACTGTGATGAGAGCATCGTCGTATCCTACTGGCTCTGTTGAATCGAAAACAAACCAAAAACCGTGAGTCAGAAGAGAGAATTCATGTCGGTATGAGGAAACGATTCAGCAACATATAGAAAAAGAAAGTCTTACCGCCATCTTCGCGGAGTATTTTGACAATCTCACCGGAAACATCAGACTGG